CAGTAAAGCCCACCGTAGGTTACGCAAGTATTTGGATTATTGAGCGACTGACTCGCCGCGTTGCCCGGTTTCAATATTATCTAAATATTCAATTCTTCAATCTGATAATTTTTGTTCTCGAAGATAATTTTAATATCTTCAATTCAAATTATACTGTATATAATAATAAATAAATATTACTATCTATAACCTATGATGATAATCACCATGCATTATAAGTTTTAACTAACTGCTAATATTTGAATTTTTATTATAAAAATTTGGCATTTAAAAAGTGTATATTTTATGCTATCTCGTCGTTATAAAATTTATTACCATAAGAATTATTATTCAATAGCGAAGATGCATCAGAAATGTCCATATCATATATTTATTTTTCTTAAAAATGTATTAAAAACAGTTAGATAATTGGATGATTGAAAATCCAAAGTAAATAAGTTATAATATTAGCTTCTGATATTGTACATAATAAATTTTAAAGACGAATTAAATCTTCAGACAACAACCTGGCATATATTTGTAGAAAACATTATACTAATATATTTTGCTAATAAACAACTATTTAGAGAAAACTTTATTTATTGTTATCTAATTTTTTTTTTTTACTCAGAAGTCCAAATAAATTTAATATCATCATCTTCAATTACAAATTCACTTTCACTCTCAGTTTTTATTTTACTTTCAGCATTCAAATATATTGGATATGATTCCCACTCTTTGGATTTATCTCTCCATACTTTTGTAATAGATGGTTCATCAAAAAAACTTATATATTTCACTCTTAATTCATCTTTAAGCTTGGAATCAAAATCACTATATCCTGAAGTAAAGGAAGAACTTTCAAGAATTGCATAATCATAAATTAAACTAGTTTGAAAATTGAGTACACCACGTTTACCATCATTATTAGCACTATCAAAAGCAGCACTTTTTTAACAAAAATTTGAAAAAAATTATTAAAGTTAATCAATTTAATAAAAATGATATAAAATATTAATATAATAAATAATAAAGTACCTCATAAATGAAATAATAACATTTTGTAATATAATTACAAAAATTATATTAGCCATTATACTAAAAATTATAAGAGGCCAAAAATTCCAAGAATCTAATGAAATTGAATTCCAATTATATGCTGCCATTATAGAACCTAAAAGGGTTGAAAATGAATTATCTGAAGATTCACTTAATCCAATATATGACGCATAACCAAGGAAGATAAACCTTTTATAGATATAAATAAATAAATAAATAAATATATATATATATTAAAATAAATTAAAATTTTGTGAATTTTAATCATATACTAAAGTCATAAACTTACAATGCAT